GTTCTTAATATATTCTGGATATTAATCCCTTATCAGATATGTGGTTGCCCAAAATTTTCTCCCAATCTTAGGTTGTCTCTTCACCTTGTTGATAAAGTCTTCTGATAAACAAAAAGTTTTAAATTTTCATGAAGTCTCATTTTATCTATTTCATTTTCCCTTCTTAAAGATAAGGAGACTGAGCCACAGAGAATTGAAATACTAACTGAACACTACGCAAAAACAATGTCACACTAATAATTTAGAGTCAGGATTTAAAACCAGATTTTGCTGACATCAAAATCTGAGCTCTTGGATACTACTTTCTTTGAATTTAGACACACCAATTTGAGTCTCCTCTTCTTTCTTGGGTAAAACATACCGTTAATATACACTCTAATATTTCCATTTTTGACTTCCTTAGCCATGTTTTCCAACTTTTCACTGAAAGTCACATTTTACATTATACATAATACATATATAGAAAGAGAAAGAGACAGTATTAAAAAACTCAATAAAAGTTTCATGAAACAAGGCTCCTTCCTAAATACAATGCATTTTGATATGTTTTGAGATATACATATATATATTTTAATTTCTTATTAATGGTTTCAACTCACTAAACTGATTTCATGATACACTGACTGAAAACCACCGCGTTTAAAGTGAAGCATGAACTTAAAAGACACGCGAAGCAATTTGAGTGTAGAATCTTTGTTTTTTTTAATGAATAATTTAACCTAATATTTTATAATTGTCTTGTTCATACTTAATTCAACAGTATTTTTTAGTAATTATGCTTTATCAAATCTTTTCAAAGCATTCAACTTTCACAGAAACATCACTTCTCTTTGTTCTTTTTCTTGATGTATATAATGATTATTTAAATTGTGTAATGAAAATAAGTAGTATAACTAGTATGAACACAGCCTTGAGTGAACAAATAACTAAATGACTCTTGATAATGATACAACTCAACTAGCAGAAGCAGATATTCACAGACATACTGTGGAGTAAGCATACCATGGGGGCATTGGACAATGTGTTTTTATCAGGAATGGGGCATCAACTAGTTAATCTAGAATGATGGTTAAGGTTATGTGTCAACTTGTCTAGGCCATGATTTTCAGTGGTTTGGCAGATATTATGTAATCATTCTCCATTTTGTTTTGTGATCTGATGTGAGCAGCTAATCAGATGAAAGCCACTCAGCTGAAAGCCAACCAGTATCCGTAGGGGTGTGGCCTGCATACAAAATATATGGACGTTCTGACAAAGCTCCCTCTGGATCCTACATCAGACTCGTCATCCTCTGACCTCCAGTTCTTGGGATGTGAGCCAGCAGCCTGCTACCTGACCTGCAGATCTTGGAATTCGCCAGCTCCCGAAACCCTGTAAACCAGCAGCATTATATCTGACCTGCCGATTTTGGGTTCATCAGCCCCTGCAACAACGTGGGTCAGGAGAAGTCTCCAGTTTGACGCCTGCCCGTGGATTTGGGACTTGCCAGCCTCCAAAACTGTGTGAGCCATTCCCTTGAGAGAAATCTCTACAAATATATTTATATACCTACACACTTCACTGGTTTTGCTCCTCTATGGAACCCAACCTAAGACAGCTGGTACCAAGAGTGGTTCTAGAGGAACAAAATCTTAAGGATGAGTTTTCTAAACTGGTTCTCAAGTCTCACTAGACTTAAATACACTGACAATTCTAATTCCAGTAAGGAGGGCATACCTAATCCATGGCATGAAGTGGCAGTAGAAATACATAAAATATCATCACCACTGGATCAAATATTTGTGAGAAACAAGGCTGTGGGTGACTGTATCTTTGACGCCTTTAAGTATTTCTGTCAAACTGAGAAGTATAGAGAAGCTGACTGGTTGGTCCTACTTTCGCTAGACAAAGTGGTGAAATAAAGAAATGAGTTCAAGGCTTCAGAGTCACAGCTCAAGCACCGCATAAAAGACCTGAAGTTTCCACTTGTGCCTTGAAAGCCTCATTTCTTGTAGCAACAGAGCTGATATGGCCGAAAACCAAACCCAGTCTTATCGTAACAGTGTCCAAATACAATTTCAGTTGAAGTCCCAACCTCAAATGTTGTCTGAAGTTGAAGTGAGGGTACTGATTAGAAAAAAAAGGGATCCTGACACTTGCAATGGGGACATATGGGCAGATAATCAAGAAGCTGGGAA